GGGGGGGGTGGCGGGGGGGGGGGGGGGGGGGGGGGGGGGGGGGGGGGGACGGCGATCGGCAGGGGACCGATGTTTGCCGCGACCCAAACCACGTCCAATTAGTGGAATTAATACCGGCTGGGCTTTGGGGGAGCTAATGCCTCTGTGTGTGCATACCTACGGGTATGCGCGCCGATGACTGCACTTTCCTTCGTGCGTAATGAAGGACAATCCCGTCATCGTACCTATACCTCGATGCATTCGCTCGTGGAAGCGCGATCACCGCCTCCTCTTGTTCCTGCGGTCACCAATGAAATTCCGTAAGTCTACAGACTGTGTACGGCGGTGCTCCACTGAATCGTTAAGAAACTAGACTGGCTAATTTCGCTCGACTACCACCGGAAAGATTCACGCGGTTGTTATGCACTTTGAAAATACGAACGTTACCAAAGTATTAAATTTTAAGACGGATTTAATGTAGACACACTCGTATTAATCGTAACTACAAGAGCATACAGATTTTAATCGATGTTTTATGTATCTCGTTATATTACGCATCTCGAAAAACGTCATCATTCGGTATAATTTAAACTGCGCGGCGATGCTCCGCTGAGGTACGGTTCCACCAATGTAAGATTAATTTTAATCCTGGTTCTCAATTTACTCTTTATCTTTTTCTAATTCTAAGAATTAGAAAAAGATGAAGCAGTAAGTTAAACTGAGATTAAAATTAATCTTACATTGATAACCTGAATCGTTCAGAAACTTGACTTGCTCGGCTACTAGATAGATTCGCGTAATTACTATGCATTCTGAAAAAACGAACGTTATCAAAATATTAAATCTCAAAACGAGTTCAACAAATAAATACAATCAACAAGTAAATACATTCGTATTAATAATAATTAAAAGCAATAATAATAATAAAGGCATTAACTTTATCTAATTATTTAATTATATTATATACTTTACCTAATATATATTATATTGTACATCCTATACTGTCTGAAAAAATACGTGCTCTGGATTTAATAAAAATTTATTTGTTTTATTAATACTATTATTGTGTGAATCAACAAGATTATTTTCAATTAGAATGTTGTTAATATAATGTTATACATCTTTTTTTTTCAGTGCAAAAAACTTCATCATATAATCGGTAGGCTAATT